TTCTGGAATTAAAATTCATTTCAACTTATTAGTTTCCACGATAGAGATAATCTCAAGCATATAAAGTTACATATGAAGTATAGATGATAATGTAAATCCTTTGTGCGTAACTCCTTATGTTTATCCGTGATCAAGAGTAATGCTAACAAAGGTTTGCTCATTGCTGATAAAATAATAATGATGAAATGAAAAACTAGCAAAATTACAATGATAATCATACAATCAAGAAGTAAAAAATTTAGACAAGAATTAGTTATTTCATTATGAGTTAATCCATCAGATTAAAAGTTTTTATAATAACGGCAACAGTTAAAATAAAAAGTAATATAATGAAAGAAGAGTAGGATGAAAACAAAAGATAGACAGCGAGTGAGAGAGAAACTTGACAAACGGAGGGAAGAAATTGATGATAATCCCAAATGATTAGGATGAAAGAGTCGACAATGAAATTTGAGGATCAAAATGGTCAAACAAACATTGACCCAACCAAACACATTTCCAATTTTTTTATTACACCGAATGAACTTTTCTCACAATCTATCTCATAAGAGAAAGAAAGAGAGAGAGAATCATTTCAATTACGTCAATATATCACATTATCATTTGTGAGAGATAAATAAAGAATATAATAGAAATCTAATGATTTCTTTTTCCTTATTTTATCTGACTTATACCTCATCATGGAAAGTTATTATAAGAACTTTTTGTAGAGAATTTAAAGAGAGAGAGAGAATTCAACAAACATCCTGATGTATTTGTAACATTTACAGAGGTAAAAAGCATAATACAAGAGGAAGTCAATGAATAATTTGTTTGTTTATGAGTCAATCGTTATCATCAACAGGGTCATCATATTGTTGAAAAAAACAGAAAAAGAGAAAAGGGGGAACAGTATCATTAATAAAACACATTTACTTAAATTAGTATTATAGAGATAACTATATATAAAAAACTGAAAGAGTAACTTGTCAAACCATATTGATCTTGAAGTAGCTGTAACATCATCAGTATCATGAACAACATCAACAAAAGCAAATGATGATCACGGTGATAGGAACATTTTTTGTTTGTTTACTTGTTTGACATTACACTACACCATATTTAAAGAAGCAAAAAAAATTTCAATCAAATATGAGTAGAAAAAAATAGGTAGAAAAGTCAAATTAAGTTTCTTTTTATTCTTTCATCATTTGACCATAAACAGTGAAGAGGTGATGATATATAAGATGAATTATTAGGATGCGACGGGAAGTTGAAAGAGAAAAGGAAAAGAAGTCATTAAATTGAGAGAAAATTTTAAAGATGAAAAAAACTGTACATTCAAAGGAATATTTTGCTAGGATCGAAGATGAAGAGAAAAGGATGAGGCTGAAGATTGGAGAAGATGATAGAGAATGGGATGAAAAGCATGATAATAAAGATCAAATATGTATGATGAAAATTTTTCAAGTCATAGCCATGTTTACAAAAGAGAAAAGAAAGAGAAAAAAAAGAGAAAATATGAAAGAGAGAAGAGAATAGAGAGATGAATTGAAGACGAAGAATAATATTGAGGGAAAAAAGTTCTGATCGATATTCTGAACTTTTTTTATCATCAATATTCACTCACCTACGAGCTATCATCAAGTCAAGATAGGAAACATACCTCAACATATTAGTTTGTCAACTCATTAGTAATCATCATAATCATGAACTGAATTCATGAAATGATTATCATATTTTAGAATGAATAAAAGTTACATTTTCGTCTTGAACCATGTTCGAATCTTCAAGTTTATGATTGAATGATGAATATGAAAAAGGAAAAATATTTACTATTAAGATTCAGAATGATAATGATAGAGAGAAAAAAGTCCTTAATATCTTTCAGCTGATGGATGATGAGAAGATTAAGAGTAAATTATATGTGTATATTTACTATACAATAAATAAAGTAACTCAATTCATTTGATCAGTTGAGAATTTAATCAAAATCTAAACTAATTAAGTATGATATCAAGTATTAAATGTATTTATTCATCATCAACATGAAATAGATAAATATAAGTTTGAATTTTAAATGAAAGTTATCATTTTCGTTAAATCATTTAGCATCTTTTCAAGTTCAATTAACATCATAGAAAAAACAGAATGAAGCTAATAATCATTTAGGTATAAATAGGTAATGATTTTTCATTTTTCCATTTCATGATTAATAGAAAACAAAAAAACGAGTAATCTTGTGAATGAAGTCCGTGAATGTGTAAAGTATGAGTAAACATGAATTAAAATCAATGCAAACTATTAATTTGGAAGCTTCTCAATTCAAAATATACAATAACAAACTTTCATCATGATGGTAAACATAAATATTAGATAAGTTCAATTGTATATATATTCAGATTTTGATATCCCCATTATCATCATTTCATTCATGTTTGTTTTTTATTCTAAATCTATTCTTGTTACATTCACATGATATTCATTGAAGAATAATAATGATGATTACTATTTAGTAATCAGTAATCATCATTAACTTAATAATGATCGTTATCATCACAATCTACATTGATTATTAGATGATTAAGGTTTAAGCTATTAGCATTATATGTTATTAATGTATCACAAGTCTAATAAAAACACATGGTTTAATTAGAGATGATCATCTCATCATCATGGCCTGATGTTAATTCAATGAGATATAAATGTTATCGTATTTTTTTGCATAAATGTATTCAGCAGAAAATGAGGAAACTTTATCTGTATCAAAGATACATGATGCTGAAATTTATCATTATCATTATGATTGAACTCCACCCTTGTAGGAGGGAAGACCCTTGAAAGATATTATTCATGGTGAAGATTACAATTAAAGAATGAGGTTCATGAAAGTAGAAATTTTATCATTGATAAGAAGATCATTAACAGAAAAAATTATACGAAAGATAATTTTCTTTTGTTTCAACGATGAAGAGAGAGAGAAAAAAAAGTTATCATGCTCATTTCTATGAATGAATTAATAATAATTCTTTTAAATTACTATCACTTGTATTCATATTGTTCCTATTTACTATAAAAAGAAATTGGGTGAATATTGTAGATCATATGGACGAGAAGCCGCTTGAAAAGTAATGATAACTATAAGAATGATGGCAATTATCATCATCGAGAAGTTGGACTGATAATGATGATAAGAACTTAAGAAATGAAAAGATGATATAATTTAACCTAGAAAATTGATTTATAGTCAAATAATCATTTAAGTCGAGAGTCCTATGTGATTTGAAAGATGAAAAGAGAGAGAAGGAGAGAGACTAAAATGAAGATGATAAAAGAAAAGTTAATATATAAAAAAAGAAAGAAGATCAAGAGGATGACAGTAAGAAAGAGTGAGTTGATTGACTGAAAAGATAACGAGGAAGATAAAAAAGAGAGAATAAGATGAGAATTGAATCCAGAATTTCTTGTCTGTGGAAACGGTTTTTTTTACTTCTCTCAAGTAAATAGTATGAGGAATGGTCTCTCTCTGTGAGTTATTGGGGTTTTTGTTGAGTAACATAATAATCACATATAATAATATAATGATCATGATGTTCATGATGAAGAGAAAAATGTAAAAAAAACTTTCCATTTTCTCTTCCTGGTCCTCCCTCTCTCTCATCTTTTATTTTCAGGGAGATGGAAAAATTTAATTGAACCATATAGAAATTCAACTTGCCATTGGAATTTAATCGTTCCCATGGTTGCTCTTCTGGATCATTGATGGCGAAAGGAGAAATGGCAACAACAACAACAACAACGACAACATCACTAGCAGCAACTTCATCATCATCATGAGCATTTGAGTAAGAGAATGAGGGAGAAATGGAGTGGGAGAGATACCAGGATATGTTAGTTCAGTAAAGCAGAAAAACTGTCATTGTCCAGGAGTGAAAAAAAGTAATATAAATTAACACAATTACTATTGAAATTGGAGTAAGTGTTAAATCAGAAATTTGATTGTACATTCAAATTAAAATTGGGAAAAAAAGTAATTGTTAGATTGATTAACTGTCATTTATATGGTGATTTAGAATAGGATAAATTATTTATAACAATTAATGATAATCAGTTGATTGTAAATTAACAGTTTTAACATGAACAAGGCGGACTGTGGACAATCGGGATGATGATAATGGATACAGTTAAAACAATCATAATGAAAATAATAAGATTAGGATAATAAAGACAACAACAGAATGACAATCAAATGAGAGTAATAGTTTTACATAGTTATTATAATAGTTTTGCTTTTCTTTGTTGATAAAATTGATGATCATGTTAATTAACAGAGAAAAACAAAAGCAAAAGAGTTATAGTGAAAGGAGAAAGATATTGAATGAATGAGTGAGATGATGTCGAATCAAGGATTTGATCAAACTAATTAAGGAATCTATCAAGATATAAACTCATCGCCACCACCCAACAACAAAAACAAAACTATCATCATGAATAAACTCATGATGACAAAACTTCAAGGATGAAGATAACATGGAAAGATTGAATTAGAAACAGATAATCAAGTTGATGATTAAAATGAACGAGAGAGAGAGATATATATATAGTCAAAGTAAGATGAAATAATTAAAAGACAATATGGTAAAGTTATCAGGTCAAATTAGGATAAAGGCAGAGAGTGACAATGATGATAAATGAACAAAGTGATTTACCAGAATACCATCATCGTTATCTTAATTAGGCAACCAATGAAGTTCCCGAAGATAATCAACAATTAAATATTGAGATTTCCCTTAGCACATGTATGATTTATATGTAATGAGATATAAATCTTGTTGGATGATAACTAAACTTAATCAAGGTAAATAATGAAAACAAAAATAACAACAGATCAATCAATCAATCGATATAATCAATTGTTATCATTTTCATAGATGATAATTGATTATATTGTTAACATCAAAGCTTCAGCAAAATTGAACAAAAATGATAATCAAAGGTATGAAAACGTAAAGGTTACATACAACAGCGTCCAGAAAATTGTTGCATTTACTGTACAGTTCCTTGGTTTGGCAATATTGTCTGAATAGTAGTCGTCCTATCGGCTGCTGTTCAACAATATAATTGTAAGAAACATCTAGAGGATAAAAAAGAGGGGAAAAAAGCAATGGACAATTAGTTGATTGTTTGACATTAATTATGTTTCTTGTTAACGATTGTAATAAATTTTTGACTTTTCCTAGATGATCCATCACGATCTGACTTGATGATGTAAACGAATTTACAAAAAAAAAGTTAGCTAATCCGAATTCAATTATCATAAAGAGAGAGAGAGAGAGGGAGAGAAGATAATTAATCTTCTCAAAGGATATTCAATCGTTAAGGGTTGGAGAAAATTCTGTTAGTATTATGATGTTGAAAAGAAGAAAAAAATTCTATTTACCAACTTGATCTTTCAGATGAATACACTGGGAGATGTGAGGAAAACGAAGTAATTTTTGCCATTTTTTGCTTTTACCTTTGTTACAATCTGCACCACCTTAAGAATCAAAGGTAAGTCAGGTAAGTAAATTGATAAAAAAGATAATGACCAGAAGAAAATGGGTTAAATAAGATGGAAAATGTTATAAGTACATTGGCGAAGATGAGGAAAAGTGATTATGGTGAAATGGTCAAAAAAGAGGAGGAAAGAAAAAAAAATATTAGAGTTAATTAATTTTAACAGTTGATTAATGAAATTGATTAATTTAATCTACTAAATGTAAAAAGGTTTACCTTCTCTTGCTTTAAGGTAAACAGTGTTGGCAACAATATTCTCCAATTCCATTAATTCCAGTTTTGTTGACTTTTGTTACCTTTTTTCTGCTCTCACTTAAGATGTTTTTTTTTATTTTGCTTCTTCTTCTCTCCCTCGGTGGTTTTAATACTTTCTCTTTCAATTGATTTGATATTTTGTTGTTGTTGTTCACAGATGATAATGATAATGATGATGGTGACTGATGAGATTTAAAGATGTCAATGGTGAGTAGATGAGTTTGGTGCTGGTTTGTTGACAATTTTATCTTGTGCTTTTGTTTTTGTTGATAATGAGGGTTGTAAATAGGTGACTAGTTAAGAGAGTAACTTGAAAACCAGAAAACAAACATTGAAGTGAGTGAGAGAGAGAGAGAGAGAGAGAGAGAGAGAGAGTACACAACCAGAATAAAGAAAGTAAAGATTAAAAAAAGAGAGAAAAGAAAGAAAAGTAACAGTTACAACAGAGTTAACAGTTAACTAGATGAATGGAGACATGGTGATCGTATTTTTGTTTCAGGTAAATTCAAGAATTAGATGGATATAAATACCTTGAATGTTTGAGGAATCAAAGTATCAAAAAATATAAGATTTGTAATCTAAATCGTTGTGAATGATGATGATGTTGATTAAGGATAAATACAGAAATCAAAAGGAAAGGAGATCAAAGTGGTTTTACTACTTCACCATGTAAATATCAACATGGACATAGAATCACAAAGTGTGTGGAAAAGAGTTAAAAGATTATGATGACGAAGAAGAAAAATCAGGTTGCGTAATTTTAACGAAGAGGTGAACATATAAGATGACAGAGAAGAAGAAGAGAATATTTTTGATGATTTTGAAGAAAAAAATGATAATAAAAGAGAAAAGAAAACATAGAATTTAACTTTTATCAAACCAGAGAATGGAAAATAGAGGGAAACACTTTTCTTTTTACTCTTTATGTTGCAGGTTATTTCTAATTGTTGTTGATTATGATAATGATGATGAAGATGATGAGAGTAAAGGTGAATATGTAAGAAAGAAAGATACATAAATAGGTAACACCAGAAGATTAGCACATAACACCGAAAGAGAGAGAGAGAGAGAGAGAAAATCAACAATCAAAGTGAACAAATGTCAAAAATGGAATAAAATAGATGAGTAATTCATAGATTTATAAAATGTGGTGGAAGAGCTTTAAAGAGAAGCAGAGAGAAGAAAAATCAAATCAAATCAACAGAATAGAATAGAATAGAATATTTTTTGTTCTCTTCTACCAAACAAATGGTTTTATGTTTGAACAACGGTAAAGAGACACAGAGACCAGAGGATTTTGATTCTTTTTGTTTGTTGGTTGATTTCGATGTTAAGATTTTTAGATTTTAATTTCAACAGGAAACAGTTAACAAAAGAATTTTCGAGTAACAATCAGTTAACTAATTAACATTTAGAGTAAATTAAATAAATTGGTAAAAAATAATCAGTGTAATGTTTTAGTTATTTGAGGAAAGTAAAAGCGAAAACTAAAACCTTTGGAGAAGAAAAAAAAATAACAGAATAAGAAAGAGAAAAAAATTCTCTTACCTAATCAGCTGACGAACAAAATGTGTCGCCATCTATGAGATAGAAATTAAACTAAAGAGTTTCGATCAATTTTTTTTCAATTGTGGCGAAGAAAATTAATTTTAACAATTAACTTTTACTCTGCTTATTTTCTTTTATTTAATGAGGAGAATTAATTGATTATCATTGATTGTTGGAACTTTGGAATATGTTTACAGTTGTTGATGGAAAATAGAATTTGAATGAAAAGAATTTTGTTTTTTTTTCTTTTTCTGGTTCATCATGTTGATCGTAAAGTTAATCTTTCATTGGATTTTATTGTCATTCCAATTGATTTAAATGAGATTCAAGTTAAATATATTTTTTTCATATAATTCTAATCATGGTGGATCATGTTGTTTCTAACATTTAAATGTTAATGACGTTTTCTTTTCTCTCTCTCAGTCTCTCTCTCTCTCTCTCTCTCTCTGTTCATTTGAATTCTGGTTACCATGGTTACTATTCAGCATCCTAACTGATCATCCGCATCTTTTATCATGCTCACTCTCTATCTTTATCATCTTGATCATCATCATGTTCATCTTTTGATTCATCTTCATGCTGAGTTTCCTGTTCCCTCTCATTTTGATTCTCATATTACAACAGTTATCATTGTAACAATTAAGCTAATTGTTTCAACTAACAAAAACAATTATAAAATATAACTAATTTATTCAAATTATCACTTATTAATTAGTTAATTATCATCCTTATACACATATTATATGTATGATGATCAAATGTGAACATAATTTCAAATTATTCATCATCAACATTTTAAATTGTTACCAATCAACTTTATCCAATTGTTAATTGTTACTCTATTACATATACTTTGTATTAATTGTTAATTGTGATTTGTTTACAATCAATGTATTTAAATGAAAAATGTATCTACAGTTGAACAATTCAATGTTAATTTGTCTAATCATATTTGGATTTGTCCATGGTAATTATTATTAATTTAATATCGGATTAATTATCAAACCCATTTAACTAATTGTTTACTGTTTAAACTTAATTTTAGTTAATCAATCTTGTGATCCAGGATTTTTCCCATGTAATGATTCAGATATTTGCATTGAACAACGATTAAATTGTAACAATGAGCCTGATTGTCCTGATGGATCAGATGAAGAGCATTGTGGTGAGTTTAATTAATCACAATTAAGAAAAAAAATTTCTTCAATTGGTCAAGCAAATTGTCCAAAGTACATGTATAACTTTCCAACCGCTAATCACTTTATTTTGATTGCTAAATCAATAAGTTAATTGTGACAGATTAATGTTTTAAATGCTGATCACAATCACAAAAAAAAGATAATCACAATTAAATGAGTTGTTGTCAGTTTTTTTTATCTTATATATTGACCAATGGTCATTGAATAGATTGATTTTTTTACCTTAATTGTTGTTGGTAAAAAACGTAAGTGATTAAACAATTAATAATTGTTCAACTGTATCAATCTGTATTAATTTGTATCAGCTAATTGATTGTGGCAACAAGTTTAACATTTGATTGCGTGATTGTCATCTGATGATCACAATTAACTTTAATTAGGGTGGACAATTTAACGATTAATATACTTAAGAATAGTTTCCTATCAGGAAAAAGTTTTTCGAATTGCATTTTTTTTTCTTTGTCTTTGCTTTCATCGAACATGATAAATTGTAAGTTCTAAGTGTTCTAACATTTGTCGTTGCTACAAATTCGTGATCACAATATCATAATCATGTCGTCGATTGTGATTAGATATTAATCAAGTTTGATAAAGTTTCCTTTTCTACTCATAATAATAATCTACAAGTAAAAATAGTTATCCGATTGATTATTTTATCGATAAATTAATTTCTATGGTTAATATTTTCTTAATCGATAGAATCAATTTTAAGGGTTAACACTTAACTGTTTCCTTTTTCCGGTTGATAGGGAAAAGAATCTGAATTTGTATCAAAACTGAAATTAGATCAGTTTTTATTAGGATGATAACAGTTCTGATTGGTCAGTGATGGTCAAACATGATAAAACTGATGAAACATAAAAATTATTTATTACCAAACTTTTACTTCCAGAATCTAAATTGTTCAGTAGGTCAAGTGAACTTTATCCTTTTTTTTATATATATCAGATTCTGAATCAGTTACATGAATCATAAGATAATTAATCATCATCACCCTGATCATTATTATTATATTTTTTCATCATCAGCTGATAATCATTTTCATCAGCTAATTGTTTACTATCATGACGATGATCAAAAAGTTCAGCAGCTTATTCAGCCATTCAATTATCATGGAAACCTATCAATCAACATTGTTTTTTTTATCTCAAGTAACATATTATCATGAAGGCTTCAAGTTATTCAGAAGATGATGACTGAACATCATGAAAATGCTTAAGAGAGAGAGAGAGAGTTGTTTTTAGTTTCGAAAATGATCATTTTTACATTTAAAGAAAAAAAATATTCGAATAACAATTCAGAACTTTTATCTTATTCTGATTGAACAATAAGATGGACACACCAAATTTCAATAATAATTCAGTTTCGGTTGAATCAGTTGAATGAAATTATGTTGATAAAAGTTTGGAAACAAATGTAACAATCAAATGGATCATTTCTTTTTCAATTGTTGACCATTAATCATGTCTGACCTTTGGAAATTTCCTCTCACTTTCTTCCAGAGGATAATCATAAGCGTGAATATTGGGATAAACTGTTTCGAAAGCGACCTGATGAAGATCGTGAGAAAAAAAATTCGACCAAATGTTCAATGAGAAATATTCCCGATGAATGTTCGTGTTCAATGTACAACGTTTTCTGTGAACAGCAAAATCTTGACAAAATTCCTAGAATTCCAAGCGAAGCCAGGATATTGTAAGTATTTATCTATTCGAACCCTCAAATCGAGCAAACAAACAATTAGACCAAAAATAGAACTTTTCGAAAATTCCTTTTTCTCAACAAATAAACAACAACACATAAAAGAACAAAGAAAAAAAAGTTCTAATAACATTTGCATAGACAGAACGGAGAGAAAACACAAAATCGACATATTAAATTCCCATAGAAAATAATAGCAAATCCTTTTACCCAATTTCCATTCATTTAAAGTTAACCAATTTATCAAACAATTAAAGAGAAACTATTAATCAAGACTTAATTGTTTACTCATTTTCTCAGAGATTTATCTGGAAATCGTATTGAAAGATTGAGGAAAAACAGTTTTCCCAATTTGCCTCGACTGAAAACACTGTAAGTAATTAAATATTGATTGTTAATCAGAGACAAATTTTAATTTCTATCCATCTAAATTGTCACAATTAGTATATTAACCTCAACAGAGATACAAGTAATTGAGAAAGATGCCTTTGCCAATTTGCCAAATTTATCATCTCTTTTCATGTCCGGTAATCAATTGTGGACAATTAATAATAAAATTTTTTCAAACAATTCAAATCTAATCTTACTGTGAGTATATGAAGCAATTAATTAACAGTTAATCAACGACAATTAATCAATTTGTTTCGTTTAAAAAGTTTCTTGTCACATAATCCGATACATTTACTAAAAAACCAATCATTTACTGGATTAACTTCATTGGAGGAGCTGTAAGACTTTTTTTTCATTTAATTTCCAATTAATCATCTTAATTGTTGCAAGTTAATTGTCTCCTTTTTATATTTAGTGATTTACGTAATTGTCGATTGTCCAAATTTCCGAAACGTGTTTTCGATCCGTTGTTAAAGTTACAAACTTTACTTCTCGATGGTAATCAAATAACTAATTTACCGAGTAAATTGTTTAAATCACTCAACAATCTCCAAGTACTGTAAGTGGACAAACAATTAGCTAATTGTTAGAGATTAACTCACTTCACTCATTAATGATGATTATATATTAATTTAGATCATTGACCAAAAATCGTATAAATGTAATTCAAGATTCTAATTTTATTGGTTTAATATCATTACGATCATTGTAAGTAAAGACAATTAAGCTTCTAATGATGAAATAATTAACTGGTTTACTGATTAACTTTAATTTTGTTTGATTAATTGTTTGAAGATCACTATCAATCAATAACATGGAAGAGCTCAAGGATAATTCATTTGGTAATTTAACAACTTTACTTAAATTGTGAGTAATTGTAGATAACAATTTACTTTCTGTTTCTCTATTACCATCAAATCCATATGATGTTTAAAGACAATTAACTAATTGTTAAGTGGAGAAAATTTTTAGGTCAAGAAATTGACTTCCGGTTGATTGGAATTTAATTCCTTTCGATATCAAAGTTGATTAAATTGATGAAAGCTTTTGACATGATAAACTAGAATATTATTCAACAATCAGTAAATTGATTAACAATTCAATTCAATGGTCATCATGGATTCAAGGTATTCTGGTCATTCCCAGTCTCTAACATTCAGAATAAAATAATTTCAATATCAATGAAATATAATAAGAAAATAATTCCAATGATAATATTATCATTGGAATTGATTTACGTTGATTGTTGATTATCAACAAAGGACACAACAATCAATCCATACAAATGATTTCCTTTCAATTCAGCTGTGTGTACAGAACTGATCACCATGAAATTGAATTATATTAAACTGTCAAACATTTACTCTCATGGTAATAGGAACATGATAAACTTGAATAAACTTGAGATTAGTTTTGATAACTGAATCAAAATAATTCAAATTGTTTGACAAGAGCAAAGAAAAGTATTACATGAGTTACATTTTTTACCGATAAAAACTAATCAATTTCACAACAGTTACTTAATTAATTGTTAGCTTGATTATCAGAGACAGATAATTGACTATTAATCGTCTAATCAAACCGATTGACATTAAAAGAAATCAAATATCAAATGATTAAACCAATTGAACTGAGTAAATTAGACACAGTCAATTTAACTTGTTGTCAACACATTAATCACAATCATAACTTTTAAAGCGATAACAACAATAATATTGATAATTTATCCAATGTTTTCATTTGACTAATCATCATGATGACCATTATGATGACCAATGGACAGAGATCTAAGGAAAAATAAGCTTAAACTATTGGAAGCCAATGTTTTCACCAATCTAAGTGACCTAGAATCATTGTAAGTATTATCATCTTATTGCTATTACAAAGTCGATGATTAAGTTGATTATCAGTTAATCATTGAGACGAGTTAAAATTTATCTCGTATCATTAATGAAAATAAATCATCAATTGACCGGATTTCAAGTGAACGACAACAAGTTGTTGTTGTTGGTCAACTGAATTTGTACCAATAGAATAGTAAGAAGAAAAAATTATGAACCATGATAATAATCATCAAGAACTTTTATCATGAAAACAAGGATAAGTAATCGATCAGAGAGATAAAATATCTCAGAACTTTCTTGATGAATCAGATCATTTTTGATTCTCTCTTTCAAGCTCACAATTAACTCTAATTCAATTATAAGTTCATTTTCCTGATAATCATCTCTCAACTTTATTCCAATACTCAGAGATCTTCGGAAAAATGTGATCAAAAAATTACCTGCAAATATATTTGAAAATCTTCAATCGTTAACTCACATGTAAGAAATTTTGTTCAACAACTTTTTTTATAAATCGAAAATTTTTGTTCTAATTTTGAAGGAAAAATTCTCTTCTCTGATTTTCTTTTATATTATGAAAGTTATTTTGACGAATTTCGTTTATGTTCATATGCTCTTCATGTTCGAGTTTGTGAACCTCGAGGTGATGGAATAAGTAGCTTTCAGCATCTATTGGATAACATTGTCCTTCGATTTAGCGTTTGGGTTGTCGCTTTTATCGCCTGTGTGGGTAACGTTTTCGTATTAATTGGACGAATGCTAATGCACGAACCCAATCAGGTTCACTCGTTTTTCATCAAAAATTTAGCCTTTGCCGATCTTCTAATGGGCATTTACTTATTTATAATCGCTTATTATGACGCTTCCTTTCGTGGTCAATATATTAAACACGAAGACGCTTGGAGACATTCATGGCAATGTAACTTGTCCGGTTTTCTGTCCACTTTATCCTCCGAATCCTCTGTTTTCATACTGACAGTTATAACGGTTGATCGATATGCTTCCGTTATCTATCCCTTAAGTCAAAAAAGGCGGACTAAAAGTTTCGCAATCGGCTGTATGATCATCATTTGGTTAGGCGCTGTTATTTTAGCTCTACTTCCTCTATTGACTGATGACCTTTTCGGCGATGAATTTTATGGTAACAATGGTGTTTGTCTTGCCCTCCAAATTCATGATCCATTCAGTAAAGCTTGGGAATATTCAACCTTCCTCTTCTGTGGCCTCAATTCGGGTGCATTTATTTACATCACTTACGCTTATATCAATATGAGCTTGACCATTGCATCTTCACGTCTTGGACTACGAACAACTCAACAGCAACAAGATCGATGTATAACTAAACGATTTGGTTTTATTGTTGCAACTGATTGTCTCTGCTGGTTACCAATTGTGATCATCAAAATACTTGCCCTTGCAGGTAAGTAAACAACTGACCATTAGTGGGGAAAAAATATCTCTATCTTTTTGTCCACTCTCTTTGTGTTTCAATGGTTCAACTCAGAGATAGAAATAGACTGGATCATGTTATTAGTTTTTTCTTATTTAAGATCATTATTCATTAGGAAATCCAGTGAATTGAAATCTTTCCCTTTCCTCATTAGTGATCATCTTGGGTCATCTCATTGATCAATTTGATGGTCAACTTTATCAGCACAGTTTTCGCATCTTCAAGTTAATAATTGCTTAATAAGCATAAAATGATAAGATAGTTCAAGAAAACTTGACTTTCCAAACCAGAATTCATAGAGTTCGTGTAAACAAATTGAAAACTAAAAATACTGAATCATACTGATCATGAAATAATAGATTGTTGAATAGGAAGCGATAAAGAGAGAGGAAATCTTATCCTTTTGCTAATTTATCTTGTGAAAATTTTCAACTGAAACTGAACATCCAATGAATCAACATGATGAGAATGTGTAAAAAAAGTTCTGAAAGGCAATAAACAGAGTACAAAAGGAGAAAGATGTGATGATAATATCGTAAAGAAAAATTTCTCATCCAGAATTATCTCAATTTCTTGAATTAGAATTACAATGTAAGAGTCATGAAAGAAATGAGGATGGACAAAAGAGTTAATATTTCACAGAGAAATAAAAGAAAAGATATAAAAAAATGTTATCTCAGCATGATGATGATGAATAATCATTAGGTTGGTAAGGGAGTGATAATGGTAAGTCCAAACCAACGGGAATCCCAACAAAAAGATGAAGAAGATAAAAATAACATTCAAATCAATAGATGATATTAGTTGACTGGGAGGGAAATGGGTTATCCTTTTGAATGAATTGAGTTATTTCCTTCATGAGAAATGAATACTATCAACCGTTAAACTACAAACTATTTACTCAATAATCTTTGAAGGCAGAAAAAAAACAATTGTAATAGATTTTGATTCAATTGATTTCAATCAATGTCAAGTCAATAACAGTTTACTTAATGAACGGGAAATCTACAAATGTTATAATCACATTTTGTAGCCTCATAAGTTCATCGGGTAGCGTGGCCGAGCGGTCTAAGGCGCTGGTTTAAGGCACCAGTCTCTTCGGGGGCGTGGGTTCGAATCCCACCGCTGCCACCATCTTATTTTTTGTTTTCCATTTGCAAGCAGTTGAGTTACTCTTATTTTCTTGCTAATTGTTAACCTTCAACTTCTGTGTTTCTGTTTTTCTTGTCAATCTCTTTACTTTCTCCTTCTATTATGTCTGATTGATTAACGATTATGATTAAAGTAAACTTGATGAAATTGATTCAACTTTTTCTTCTTTCTTTCAATCGATACCAATGTTACTCTTTTTTTCGTTGTTTAAAATTTTCTCTGAACTTTAGAATAAGAAAAAGAAAAAAAAAGAACCTAACCTAAGCTTGTTCATTTACTACTCTCAGTTGATTAATATATATCATTCCTCCTGTTTGGATAATCCTCTTGGATTCTGAGGGAATCACTTTGAGTTAGAAATTGGAATATTTTGTAAGCTTACTAATCTTTTACTCCAAGTTGCTGAGATTGAGTTTAATTTAACTCTAATAACAATCAACCACCATCAGAGATGAACTTACACAATTAGATGTAACTATCTCCCGTGAATTTTATCTACATAAGAATTAAATTGATAAAGAATAGAAAACAATCAATTAACTGAATTAGTATTATGAGGTAAATGTGGTTAATAGATTTACACCGATTGGATTATTGATTTAATTTCTTGGGATGAATTAGATTCACAATGAAACAAAATGTTCAACGTTTTTCTTTCGATGAGAGTTGACAATTTAACTAATATTATCACATTAATTAGTTAATGATTTAATGGTTTTTCATCACAATTTAGGTGTACCGATAAATGATGATCTTTATGCTTGGGTTGCAGTTTTCCTACTTCCAGTTAATTCAGCACTTAATCCAGTTCTGTATACACTGACGACGAAACTATTTAAGCAACATTTTGCTCGGATCATTGCTTATGGACTTCAAAGGAGCAGTTCACCTGGAGGTGATAATAATTCAGGTATTCAGGAGGCTGGACATAGTAATGGGTCAACCAAAGAAGATCTCAGGTCACCATCAAAAGATTCATCGTTTTCGAATGGATTTAGTTTCCGAAAATATTGCATATCAGAACAATTGTCCATCTTTAATCGAGACAAAAGTACAGATGATGACGATGGACGAACGGACACTTTTTGACCTTTTTTTTTATTCACGAAAATGATTAATCACAATAATGACCAATGGTCAACAAAAAAAAAACGTAACAAGAGGATTTTGAATTTTCTGCCAACAAAAATCAATTTTAAAATCTAATCCATAATATTGACCATTTGATATAATTAAACTCAACAGAGGAAACAATCAGTTTAATTGTTTACTGTTTGAAAATATTTAAATCACAATTAATTATATATTTAAAACTTGTTTGCTTATTTAAATTGGTCACTCAATTTGAGTAAATGTCCAATATTATTATTATATCATATTGATATTATTTGTTAAATTGGTCATTTAATTTATTATTTTATTTCAATTAATTATTGACTGTTCAAAGTAAATAAATGATTTAATCAATTGTTGGTTAATTTTAATTTCACAAAGTTTTTGAAAGTTGATAATTGTTACCGGTAGATGGCACTTGGTGATCTGGTGATTAACTAATGATTAACAATTTAACTATTTAAGTGATCAGATTAATCTGATTGGTATTGATTATTATTATTATTATTGTTTTAATCAAGTCACGGATTTTATCAATCAACTTGATCATGATTTATTTTTAAATATCAATTGTTAATACATTGAATTGAATTGGGTTTCAGGTTAACGGCAACAATTAATTGTTTCAATAAACTGATCGGTTCAAATACTTGAAGTTGATTAAATGTTACTAATTGTTAATCAAACTGAAATGAAAACATTGATTTGATACGATTCAGTTATATGATTACCTTTTATAAGTAATCAAGGTTTTCATTAATTGTGAAACAAAATAAACAATTGAACAATTTGGCTAATCATATGAAGTTAACTGAATTTGTTTTTTGTTTAAATCATAACAATTAACAGTTGGCATGGATTTTTAAATTGAAAGAGTTAATTGTAATCAAGGGTGAGCACAATTAAGATCCAGTTACTTGTTTATTCAGATTAACTTAGTTTTCTTGGCTTTATAATTAATTAGTGTGTGAAAAGTTTCAACAATTAAATGTTGAGTTTTTTTTCCTTTCCTGAACATGATTAACAATTAAAATCTAAGATGATAAATTACTACAAAAAAAAAGTGTCTGATTTAATTATCATCAAGTTAATTGAGAAGTGAGTTGAATTATTTAAAAGTAGAGATAAAGTTTAAAGTCTTAACGATTAAGGCAAAGATACCAAATGATTAAGTAGTAAACAATTACCTTGATTGCTGACCGTTTTTTTGGCTTCTTTTTGCAATTAACCACGGCTACTGGTCTCGTATTGCAATGCAGAGGCCAGAGGTCACTTTTAGTGGCATTGAGATGCAGATATTAAGGTAAATCGGAAATGCAGAGAGAGCAAAGCAAATTCTAGGAAAAAAATTCTAACAAAAATGAAATAGTTCACAAAGAAAACGAAAAAAAGAAGGAAGCTGAAAAATCTCATAGAAAGAAGAAAAGAAAGAGAAAAAGATGAGAGTGGAGAAGGTGGAGTAATATGAGGTGGGAGAGGAAGAGAGAGAGAGAGAGAGAGAGAGAGAGAGAGAGAGAGAGAGGATATGATGATAAGAATGGCTCTTGTCTACCGGCGAGATATTCTGTATACAAGGAAACCCTTGAGTTCTTTGGGTTGATGATGAAGTTTCTCATCATCTCTTTCCCTGTGTTGTAACAACCAGAGTGAGAAATGAACAATAATGATGATGAAAAAAATGACACAAAGTTACATAGAGACGAGAGAGAGAGAGAGAGAGACCAAGTATTCAACGACAAAAAAGTAAAGGTAACAACAATATCCAGGTAAATATACACAATTAGACAGCAAAAAACATCATCAACAACAATGATAATAATAAAGGTAAGAAGAGGAAAAGTCAATGTAAAAATATATAAATGTATAAGATAATATTACCTGATGATGATAATGTATTTTTTTTTCAGCAAAACAATTGCTTTTTTTACCTGTGTAAAAATGATGAAAGAAACAATTTTTTTTTTCTTTGTCTTTCTTGTCTTTTTCATCTACTTTTTTTTTACCTTTTGTCAACTTTTACCTGTCGTTATCGTTGTCGTTGTTGTTGTTGACCAAAGCATAGTGACAATATCAGTAAGTTAATCATGATCCATATCATCCTGTTCATCATCAGCATCTTTCACACGCATTGACAATTCATCAAGTTACTCACACAATATAACATTCAGTGAGTGTGCAATCATTGTGAGGGTGAAACTTGATCAACCATTAGAAAGATGATGAAGATGAAGATAGATGATGCTCTTGCTTGAAAAAAAAGATGATGATAATTATCATGATAATGATGAATATGAAACAGGTAAGGTAATGAAAGCAAAGCTAAAAAACTTGCTCACCTTTCGTGATCTATATTTATTTTTTTCTTCATATTATTCTTGAAAGATGAAACTTGAAGATGATAAGAAAACAATTACCAAACAATTTAATCAAACATCATCATGAAATTATCATTGTTAAGAAAATACAAAAGTTTATGATAAGTTGAAGAATCGGTCAATGTACTCATACACCTTGGGTATCCTCTTGATATCCAGGTAAATATCCAGGTAAGTATATCAATTTGAATACAATATTAACCTAAACTTTTGTTTTGTTTTGTTTTGTTTTTTTTTGTTTTCAACAATCGATTCCAATCAAACCACCCACAAGACTGTGTTTGTTTATTTGTTGATTATTGATAGGATGATGATGGTTCATGGTTATTATCATGATTATTTTGAGTGATTAGGTTATTACTCATTGAACGAGTTTTAATATAAATGAAAAACAATCATCATCAACCTAATATAATACAATATAAATAATATATCCAATGGTTAACAATAATATCGATCCGATGAAAGTTTTTAATATGATTGGTTTGGTAAAAAGAGAAAAACAAAAAAAAAGTTCGAAGTGAGCAACCTCTTCCACCCACTCTTACACTCTCTCTCATTCTCTCTCTCTCTCTCTCACTTTCACTCTCACTCTTTACCTGAGTGTGTAACTGTAACTGGGAGGGGAAATATTGTCATAACTTCATGATGAGAATATTTTTTTTCTTCATCTTCCTTTGACTTGCGCTCCTCTTGTATTATCATTATCATCCAACAAAAAGAAAAGAAAGACAAAAGAAAGAGATGATAAGTGGGAGAGATGATAGGAGAGAGATTAAGATGATAATGAGGAAGATGTAAAGAAGAAAAAAAAAGTTCTAATAGTTGCATTTCCTGTCCCAGAACACTCATTGTTTTGTCTATGTTAAATCAACATCGACAATCAACTAATCATGATCCTTTTTTTGTATCATCACTACTAATAAACTAACGGTTTTTATGTTTCCTTTTTACTGTTTAACTCAATTGCCAACTTTTCACACAATTTGTTAATCATCACCATTTGATTGCAATTAACTGACAAACTTTATCATTATGGATCGAGTTGATTTCCCTTTGAAAAATTGGTAAGTTTTGATTGACTCAAAATTTGACTTTCTCGTTTAAATTGTTGTGATTTATCAATTAAACTATTTATTTTAACCATTAAGAGTGATTGACTTTAATTGTTGCCTTAGTTTGGGTGATAAATGTTGTTTAATTGATATTTTCAATATTGTTTTACTCTTTATTTGATTATTGATTCACTTTTGATTAGTATTTTAACTCATTAACCAATCAATAATCAAATTAATGCTTTTATTTCATGATATTTGTTTGCTTTACTTACCTGTCGTTTTCAATGGTTGTTAATTGTTGTATTATTATTGATTGATTGCATTTTATAACGGTTGTTGTTTTGTTGTCTTCTGAAACATCATTTTGATTGATGATTAATTTACTTTCATTTACAATTGTTGTGTCAAATTAGTAGTGATCGAGCCTTAAAAATAGTTAATTAGTTAATCATTAGATTGAATTGTTCAAAAATGGACTCAAAGTCAAACCTATGGGTCAACCCAATATTAGTTTACCTTTTGTCTTTTGATACTTAATATCTTCCTCTCTCTCTCTCTCTCTCTCTCTCTCTCTCTCTCTCTCTCTCTCTCTCTCTCTCTGTCTAGAAACCTCCATATCTAGTTAGACATGATGATGGAAAGAAAAAAGAAAGAGAGATGATGATGGAAGATAAAGAAAAATTATAAGAGAAAAAAGATGAAGAAAAGAAGATGGAGAGAGAGAGAGAAAAGGAAAGCAGGTGAAAAAAAAGATAGAGAAGAAGATGAAGATGAAGATGATAAACCAGAGAATGAGAGAGAAATGATGATAAAAGGAAGAAGGAGGGAAGAAGAAAAATCATGTTAGGGCGTGGGTTCTATTTTCTAACCAAGATGCAAAAAGAAAAAAAAATTTCTTCTCTTTTCTGGTTCCTTCGTTTTTCCTTTGGAAACGAAAATCAGATTCTTCTCTCTCTCTCTCTCTCTCTCTCTCTATCCAGGTAGATACACATAATATATTTACCTGAAGTAAACTGACCAAACCTTAACCCAAAAAAGATGCACTCAACTCACCCACTTCTCCCCATTCACCACCCACCAAATTCAATGTAAAGTTACCCAATTGATTGATTGAAGCATCAAAATTAAAGACAAAGACTTTTAATTGTTAATCTATTGATCATGATGATTAACTTGATTGTTTAGTTCATTGGCCTTTTTCATATATTATATGTACACTTACTGCCTAATACATTTAATTAGGTTCATCTCTCAATCAAACCAAAAAAAAAGGTAAATCAAATCAAAGTAATTATATTGATTCTAAATGAGACTTGATTTTGACACAACAGGTAAACTGTAGGCACAGGAAATGTAATCATAAATTGTTTCACTTGATTATTGTTGCTAAATTAACGAGCCTTGAATGATGATTATAATGATTTAATACACACACACAAATACATTGATTATCATCAAACTAATCATAAAAACTTTGATGGTGTCAATTAACTTGACCATTGATTTGTGTTAAAATGTAATTAAATCAGTATAATCATAATGATTTAATGTATTTTCAATGAACTTTTTCAATGCATGAAAGATGATTATTATTTAGTATGATGATGAGAAGACAATTATTACAATCAGTTTATTTTGATAATTACAATTAACTTAATTGTAATCATAAGGTTTGTAGGGAAAGAAAACAAAGGACAAAGAAAAGTGAACAGCAAACAAGCAAAAACAAACAGAATTAAAAAAAAACGCAATAATTAACTAATTGTAGCAAATTAAATATCGTAAGAAAATTGAAGAAAACAAAAGTTTCCTTATATTGATTCAAAGTCAACAGCAATTAACTAATCAT